GGGCTCTCCGCTGGTTCCCGTGTACGCGTTTGGGGAGAACGACGTCTACCGAATTCCCCGCATTGCGGGCTCTGCGTGGTGGAGGCGCGTGGGGGAGAAGTTTCGCAAAGTCACGACCTTTGGTCTTCCCCTGTTCCTTGGTCGTGGCTGGTTCAACTACAGCTTTGGCATCCTGCCGCACCGCCGCCCCATCACTGTGGTGGTTGGGGAACCCTTGCCAGTGCCGAAGATCCCCCAGCCCACATCAGAGGACCTGCAGGATTGGCACGACAAGTATGTCACGGCCCTCAAGCGGCTCTTCGACGAGTACCGCGCTGTGTACGACGTGGAGTCCAGTGGTCTGCGTATTCATTAGCGTTTGTAGTGTTGAGTGTCCGTGCCGTTTTTATTTTGCATGACGTGTTCTTGGGTTCCTGCGTTTAAGTGTGGGCATGTGTGGAGTGCCGAATCAAGTGAATTATTGGTTTTTGTCCGAAGTGAGCTTTGAGCAGCTTGGCGGTTCTTTTTTTTTTTTAAATATTTTTTGTAGTTTTCATTGAAGGGTGCGTGGTGCAGCAGCGTTGGTGGTGGCTGTTGTGAAGAGTGGGCGGAAGTGAAAAGATGGGCGAGTGGGAGTGGCTGTCGCATTGCATGTGACCATTGCTTGCCGCCGCATACGTACGCAGTGTGTTCTTATGTGTGTGTGTGTTGGTGCTGTGGGGTTGTCAACGCTCGCTCTGGTGCACTTTTCTCTGCCTGACCTGTTTCGTGGTGGTGTGTGTCTTTGTAACATAAAAATAATGTGTATATGTGTGCAAGTTATCTATACTTGTGTGCATACACTGCGTGAGGGTGGAGGCAAGGAAGCGAATACACCACACACACATACAAAAAAAAAAGGAGTTGAGGGACGTTGTCAAGACGGCCACGTGAAGCAGCGAAGATGGTGCTTATGTCTACCTATCGCAACAGCAGGCTGGTGTCGAAGGAGTTCCTGCATGGCCCTGTGATGCGATTTCGTGCGCTTGGTGAGTACTACTTTCAACGTGCGTGGAACGGCACGCTGAACTGGGCCCTTCCTGGAGAGTACCGCCTGTATGCCGTGATGATCCCCTTCATCTACTTCTACCACCGCTGGCACCAGGAGCACAAGCTGGACGTGGACCACGTGGAGAAGGCAATGATCATGCGGTGGGGAGGCACACTGGAGGACGTGCGTAAGTTGTCCGCAGAGGACCAGCTGCGGGTGCGCTGCTTCACGGACATAGAAAAGCTTTACTCCGCCTACGGCCCGAAGGACATCAATGTGCAGCCGGCGGGCGACACGCTTCCTGGAAAGGACTTTTACAAGAAGGACGGTGAGGGGCATAGCCACTGAGTACGTTTATGGTTATTGTTATCCTTACATTATCTACACCTTTCTTTGACGGTCACTAGCCGTGGCGGCTGTATGTGTGTAAGGGGGGAGGCAGCTGTCGATGCGTCACCGCGGGCGTGTGGCGGCGGACATCAAGAACAGGAAGGAACGTGGATGGTGGTAAGGGAGAAACAGATGATATGGCGTGATGAAATAGTCTCTGTGGTTTAAGAGAGATCTGTTTCTCGCAAGCAAGGGAGGAAAATGTTTAGCGGAATAGTAGCTGTTAGCCATGCATTGCACGTGAATGTGTCTGGTGGAGTGTGCGCGTCTGTGTCTGTGTGTGCAGTGCCCCTTGATAATCGTCTGACGGTGAGTGTAGGGCGGCTGACGGATTGCGGTGGATTGACACCCACACATGTCGCCTTCCAGTTAAAGAAAAGAAAAAAGGAGTTAAGTGGATCATGTGGTTCGAGGTCAGGCACAATATGGAGCGGTGTGTGGGCGTCCGCCGCCGCCTTAACTGCCAAGGTTGAACGCTGTGGTGCCGCACAGTCACATCGTTTTTTTTTTTTATCTCTTTGCCTTTTTCTTCCTGCATGCACGCATAACTGGGCGGGGGCGGCCGGTGACAGTTTCAGCCTTCACAGGGAGCCGCCACCACCTCCTTCACGAAACCAAAGTAAAAAAGGAACAGATAGGGGGACTAAACTATTATTATTTATTTCTTGTTGCTTGTGTGTGTGTGTGTGTGTGTGTGAGTACTTCGAGCTACAGAAAGCGAGAGAGAGAGAAGCGAAGCCGACCAAACAATAAAAAATAAAAAACTGAAGAAATGATGGGCACAGTTGTGCTTCCGCCGTTTGTGGCTGCCGCCATCGTTGAGCACGCCAAGCGCCGCCGCAGCTCCGCTGGGTACCTTGTAGGGAGCCGCAGCGGCAACCAGATCAGCATCACGGACTACATCCCCTGCACCCACGAGTCCACAGACGATGTACGCACGCGGACGTACCTGGAGGAGCTCAAGGAGCGCGTCTCGCTTAAGAAAAGCTACACGCCCAGCATCACGCTGGTCGGCTGGTATGCGGCGGCCACGCCGGAACCGGAGAATGAGCGAGAGTTCGAGTTGTGGTGTCAGGCACCAGGCGCACGATTCACTAAGAATCAGGCTGTCATGCTGGTTGTACGCATGCCGAGTGCAACCGACATCAGTATTCGCTGGGAAGCGTACATCACAAACAATCTTAGGAAGGGGGACACTGCTCAGTGTGAGCGGAGGCAGCAGCTAGCCGTCTCCATGGAGGCGGAAACGCCGTCCATGAACGTGATGTTGTCGGAAATTATTTCCAAGACGCTCTGCGGCGGCGGCGTGCCATACCCGACGGACCGAATTACGAACCTCGACCACGTTGCGGCGGATGCGGCCGCCAGAGAGGGGGAACTAGGCAGAAAAGACGGCAATCGAAAGGACGCTGAGGCGCGACAGGTGGAGTCGGCCCTGCTTAAGGTGCAGGAGAAACTCAATCAGGCCATTTCCCACGCCCGCGCCATCCTTGCCTCGGGTCACAAGCCCAGCAGTGAGAGCGCCGCCATTGTGGAGAACTACGAAACAATTCTGGCGGAGAAGAAGGAGCAGAGTAGTCGCGATAACTTCATCACGGAAAGCTATAAGGATGCGCTGATGATAAAATACACCGCAGCCCTGCTTCGCCGTCATTTGACGGAGATTGAGCGCCATGGGCGTCAGGACATGAAGGATAAGACGCACCACGGCCAGGGCGGTGTGGCCAGTCCACATGGCCCACGCAAACTTGGTGCTGCATTTCGCTAAACGATACTCGTCCAGAACACGGCGGTGGGCATGCAGGAAACATCGAACGCGAGGGCTGAGATGAGGGAATGGGGGTTATCTGTTTCCCGTAATTTCTTTTTCTCATTGTCTTTTTTTGTTTGTTGCATGTCTTTCCGTCTGTCTTCGCGCTTTGCTGTGTCATTGCGCGTGTAACCTGGTGCGAGCGCGAAGTAAATGGTATCGACGGGGTCCAATCGTTGTTGTGTGTGCGTGTGTGTATCGTGGAGCGAGGGGGCGGCCGCGCATGCATTTTTTTTTCTTGTTCTTCTTATAAAAGTTAAGAATCCCGGTGAGAGGAGCGCAGGGCGGTGGAGTGAGTGGGGTGGGAGGATCGTGAGCGAAAGCGAGGGAGGGGGGTTGTTGAGGAGCAAAGAGGCAGGAGCGCACATAGAAGAAAACAACAGCCACCAAAACCTTCTCAGCACCACCGCCGCCGCTGCCGCTGCCGCACTAAATATATATATATAATTTTTAAAAAAAGGATATGTGCGAAGAGACGACATTTTATGCAAATTCACTTTTCCTCTTCTTGATGTGCGCGTGTTTGCGGTGTTATTTGCTGCTGCCGCCGCCGCCTCCGTCTGTCTTATGCCGCCTGGCTTGTCCCTTTGCACCCCTTGATGTATTCTTTTCTTTCTCCGCCTCCACTCCCTCTGTCGCATGGCCGCACACTGCCTGTGCCTGTGTGTGTGTGTTTGAAAAAGAAAGGGAGAGGGAGGAAAAGAGCACCCATGCCGTCTCCCGAGCGCGTCCTGCGCTGCCAGGAGCCTGCGGCTTCGCATGAGAGCCTTAGCCTCGAGTGGGCCTTTGGCTTGCACAAGGATTTTAGGTCCGTTATTCATAATCTCAGCTCCTCTCCCACGGAGCGGGTGGTGTTCTACACCATTGGGCACTATTGGTATCATCTACGATGCGGTGCTTAACACTCAGCGTCACCTGATGGGGCACCGTCACACGATTGTTGCCTCCGCATGCAGTCGTAGCCGACGCTTCATTGTGACAGCGGACAACGGCTCCAGTGAAGCGAATAAATCCCCCTGGGGCGAGGCGTTTTTGGTTAACGGCAGCCAGAAGCATCCGGGGATGACGAGCACTGGTGTGGAGCGGCATGACCAGCAGGGCGAGAATAACGCTGAGTATGACAGCTCGCTGATGATCATCTGGGATGCGCAGACGGGTATTCCGGTGCGTACAATATTGACAGGCCTTTACGGTGGGGTTATGGCATGTGCTATGAGTCTGGATGGCATGTACATAGCAACACTGAATCACCGCATCCCGCAGGAGATTATGCTCTGGGGATGGACCTCAGAGACGGAGATTGATGACGGCCGTGGTGTCACCGACACCCTCATCGGCGAACTCGCGCTGGTCAGCAACACTGTGCCGGAGTACTGCCGCTTGATTCCAGCCCAAGACAAGCAAACTTCCATTCGCTTCTCCGAAGATGATCCACACCTTGTGGTGACGAATGGGCTGCGTCGTGTGCTCTTCTGGTCCTGGGCGGAGCGCGAGCTAAAGTACTATTCCCCACCTATTTTGGCAAAGAACCTGAAAGTGTCCGTTGGCAACTTTACGCAAACGATGTTTGTTCCTGGCACCAGCATGGCCTGTAGCGGGACGGTCGATGGAGATGTGATTCTGTGGGAGGTGCAGCCACGTGATCGGGTCACGAAGGAGCAGGACAAGACGATGCTAAAGATGGTGCGGATTCATTCCTCTGGGGTCTCGTTTCTGACGTGGTCAAGTGGCTACATTGTCTCTGGAGGCATGGACGGGCATGTTAAGTTCCTCGATCCGAAACTGCGTCTGGTGGCGTGGTTTGAGGACCTTAACGGTGGAGCAGTGACATCTATCAGTTTTGACCGCCCCCCCATAGTTGCCCCACTAGTGATGGATGAGTTGCGCAGAGAGTTCAAGGCATCCACACAGAAAAAGGCTGCACTTGGCAGAACACTTGCAGTGGAGGAATTCTCGGCACCCAATTTTATGATCTCCACTGCCCATGCTATGATCGTTGACGTGGCGAGTAAGGCGTTCCATGGCGGGAATCCAGAGCTGCTTCGTGGCAAGCTTATTGTGCAGGGGCAGGAAAAGGGCATTCAGTGCCTTGCAGCTCATCCGAAGCTTGCACGGATTGCCGTGGCAGGGCATAGCGGCCATGTGCATGTATGGGACTACGTTGCAAAACAGGTGTTGGTCCTCAGTATTTTTCACGGCATACAAATTAGTTGCATGGCGTATGACCCAAAGGGAGAGTACCTTGTCCTTGGCTGTTGCAATGGCATTGTGAAGTTTCTCAATGCCAATACATTGGAGGAGAAGAAGACGATTAGGCCCAAGCGGTGTGACTGTGTCACACGTATGCTCTTCTCAGACGATGGTGATCGTCTCGCCACAGGGGACGCCAGCGGGTGTGTGAGTCTGTACGAATTCAATCACCCTCAGGGCAACATGACGAAGCCCATGGAGTGGGATATCGTGGGTCGTCACAAGACGCATAGGGGGGCCATTTCTGGGCTTCAGTTCGGTGACGACTTCGGCTTGCCACGCCTTCTCTCTGTTGGGGAGGACAAACGGCTTGTAGAGTATGATTTAATGAACTCCGAGCCGGAGTCAGGCTTGCTTGTGCGGACGGCACACAAGATTACACAGGGCGCCTCCCCCACCGGATTTCTGTGGGTGCAAGAAAGTGGTGTTACGAAAGACATGAAACGCCGCAGGCAGGGTGATGAAGCCGACATCGACGATTTCCTGCTTGTGTCAACCAACGACTACAAAATCACAGTGTTTTTAAGCGATTGGAGCCGTCAGTGCATCAAGTCTGTGCTGGCACCAACGTTTGGAGGTCCTGTAGCGGAGATGTTTACGGTGCCCTCGCTTCCAGGGAGTGAGCAAACGTGTTTGTTCTATGCCACTCGGGAGAAGGTGATTGGCCTGATACGACTGCCGCTGCTCGGTGACCCATGCATGTCGACGGGGTTTGTGGCGCACCCAGGCACGATCACAAGCGTGGCAAGGTCGTACGACGGTGCTTTCGTCTTTACCGCTGGCGGCGATGACCAGTCCGTGATGCAGTGGCGCGTGAATGGGGAGAAGATTGTGCCCCATGCTGACACCGCACTGGCGGAGACCGCCTCCACTGAAAATGGGGACGAGGTCCCATTGGATCACCTTATAGCCGCCGTCGAGGGCGGACGTGAGGGACAATTTATGCGTGAAATTGTGGACTACTTTTACTACGCTCAGATTCGACTTCAGGGGGAGGAGACAACCGCAAAGCGTGAGTTGCTAGGGGCGGTTCCCTTCTCGCAGCTTCCGAACCTTTTCCGCGCTCTCGGGTACTACCCGTCGGAGCTAGAGATTGGTCGCCTGACGTACGAGGTGGCAAACATTTACGGTCCAGAGGATGAACCAGTGGAGGAGTGTGACGTGGGTTGCATTCCGCTAAAGTTCTCGCAGTTTATGCGCCTGTACGTGAATTACCGACCCGTTTACGGCATCGCACGCCAAGATATTGAGGCCGCCTTCCTGGCACTCGGGGCGGACGCGGTCACTGGCCAAATCACAAGGGATGTTCTCTTTAAGCTGCTGAGCACGCATGGTGAGCCTTTGCAGCAGGAGGAGATTTCGGCGGGGCTACGATCACTGCTTGGCGAAGGGGTGCGCCTTGAAATGCTTGAGGACACCATCACGGCCCGCGCCTTTGCGGAGAATCTGCTTGGATTTGAGGATTACGACACCTTGGGCACGGAAGAGAATGCGGTGGAAGTGCAGGACAATAACGAGGAGGAAACGTTAGTGGGTGACTAAGTGCGGCGCTCGCGCGTTTTTTAATTTGCTTGTTTGCTTGCTCCACCGCTGCTATGATGACGATTAGGACGAAGATGTCTTACTTTCCGTCCACCCCGTGTGTTTGCCTCGGTGAACGGGGGGAGGGGGGGGAGCACAAGGAAGGCGAAACAACAACCCCCGACAAGAAGAAAAGAAAAAAGAGAAGGGAGGGCAAACGAGCAAGCAAACAACTTTATGTAAATGGAACCTGAATTAGTAGACACGTATGTGTGCATGTCTCTCAGAGAGAGAGGGGGCAGAGGGAGAGAGAGAGAGAGAGAGAGATCGTGCACGGTTATGATGTTGAATGCAATACATCTGTGTCTCTGGTTTGGTGGGGGGGGGCGGTGACATGTGCCACTAAATGGCTTGCTTCCTGCACGTCGTTGCATCTTGTTGTTGCTGTTGCTTCCCCCATCTCTGTCCTCTCGCCGTCTCGTCTCTAGTGCGTCCCCGCCCAGTCACACTGCAGGGAAACCAGAATTAGCATCTACCACCGCGTCTTTGTACTCTGTCACAACTGAGGCGTGGCTCTCAACTCTCCCCACAGGAAGGGACTGACAGACGTTCCTTACTCTTTCACAACGTTCTATTGTCATTGTCGTTTATTCGTCGCTTGACGTTGGTGTGTCACTCATGGTTCTCTCCCCAGCGTCGTCTTCCTTGCTGACGCCATCTGCGGCTCCATTCGGCGGTGTGCGGGTGTTTCTGCACATCCGCGAGAACACTATCGGCGCTGGGGGTAGTCGCATGAAGCACTATGCCAAGAAGGCCCTGCGCAAGCTCGGCGCCACCCTGACGCTCTCGGAGAACACGGCGGACTTGATTGTGTTTCACTGCGGGAATGAGTCGCTTCTTGAGAACGCGATAGCACATGGAAAGATCATCGTTGCCCCGGCGTACCTTCAGGAGTGTGCCAAGTGCATGGAGCGGTTGTCGACTGAGGCGTTTCTCGTTCACCCACGACTGGGTCACGCGCAGGGGACGGAAGACGCGGCCGTAGGGGATAACGCCGCCGGACGCGACGAAGAAACGGAGGAGGAGCAGTGCCCGCAGGCGGAGCTACCGCCAAAGAGGACCTCCATGGGGTTGTCCACCATTCCCTACCTTGATGACGTTGCGGAGGACGAGCGTAAACACGCGGCGGGGGGGCGTGTCGCGGGCTTTGAGGTGCAGAGTCGAGCCACCACAAGACAGGTAGCAGCGCCTGCTGTTGTTGAAGATGATAGCACGGACGAGGGCAACCGCACTGGTGGCCCGTTTCTCTATGTGGGCGCCTTGGATGCTCCTTGCGCGGAAGAAGCAGCGAGTACCGTCGCCGTGGCCACATCGTCATCGTCAACGGTAACCGCAAAGAGGGGCAGACGGAATTTCACGGACGGCCCACCAGCAGTGCGACGCAAACGTGGGCAGTGCATCTTTGACAGTGTTGGCGGTGAGCACTCGGATGGGGTGCTGAGTAAGAGAACGAGTAAGTTACAGAAACGAACGACCGCGTCAGCGACGAATGATGGGACGACAGAGCCCACGATGGCCTTCACGGACGCCCGCCTCATCACTTTGTTGGTTACTGCAGAGCCGGGTGTGAAACATGACATTCATTCTGGTGCGTCACATGTCCGTCATCCCACGACCCTTTCGCAGCTCCGCATTGCCGTGGCCGGGGAGGATGAGTGTGAAATTCAGTTTCTCTGTGACGTTGTTGAGCAGCTGGGAGGTATCTTTGTGCCACGCGTGTTTGGTCGCGTGCGGAAGCCAACGCACCTGGTTTTGGGGGGGCGGGGGGAGCTGACTCCGATGGTGTTGCTTGCCAAGGCGCTGGGTATCCCTGTGCTGACACCGCAGTGGCTCTATGATGCTATTTCCTTGGGGGAATTCCCGAAGATTATCTCTGCCCATCTGCATCCCATGTACTCAAGTAACGTGCGCCTCAGTAGCACTCTCAGTGGGAGGAAGGAAGAGGGAGACAAGGAAAAGAAGGAGGAGCAATCTGGTGGTATGCCGATGCAAATGCCTCGGAAGGACCCGAGCATTGAGAATACTCTTATTGGCATGTTGCAGCAGGACGTTGGTCCCAACTATAGGCCTATCTTTCTTGGGATGGTGTTCGCCTTTGTCAGCCACTCCCCGCTTGTCCACGCCTACCAGTTCACGGAGCTTGTGCGTATTTTAGGTGGCTTTGTTTCACGCAGTTCGTTGAGTCTGAACCTCTCCGTCCTCGTTGATCTTGGATACGGTGCCCCCCTCTCGCAGGAGGAGGGAGTGGAGGGAACATGCGAGGAGGAACAAGGCGATGTGTCGAGAGCGGCGGGGGTCAGAAAGCGAAAACTGCGTCGAAGGGTCGTGCGAGGTGCGGAAGGGGAAGGGGCTGCCGTGGAGACGCAGTCGATTCCCATGACGTATCAAACCGCGCTGAGCGACGGTGGCAGCGTGACACGGCCCACTTCCCATGATGTCTTGCAGCGTCTCATGACGCAGCGCCGCCAGCGCGATCTCCCTGTCATCCCTGTGGTTTCTGTGGAGTGGATCATTCAATGCATCTTGCTTGGCGAGGCGACTGAGACTACGCCGTTTGAGGTTTCACTGAGCCTGCAAGAGCATCTCGGTGCAGTGGAGGTCGACCAATCTAGCGAGACAAAGGAAACCGCCAACAGCAACAAGGCCGTCGCCTGCACCCCGCCGAGGCAAACGAGGTGCCTCGGGAATAACAGCACGAGGGAGGGGAGTGGCGGCCGTGGCAGGGTTTCGTGGCAAACCCCTGTGGTCACCAGTCCGTTTGCAAAGACCTCTGAGGGACCGAGTAGTGCGATGAAGCGGGCAGAACAACAGTTAAGCACACAACAGCTGCTTCTTTCGTTGGAAAGTGATGAGGAGTGAGGCCTTTCTTCTTGTTCTTGTTGTGGTTATGCTCTTGCTCTGCGTAGGTGTAAGCGTGGCTGCTTTTGCATCCGCGTCACTAACAAACAAGAGAAGCAATAGCGAGAACGGTGAGTGAATCATTTTACTTTTTCTTCTCCTTTGCTCCCCATCGGCCTCGTTTTCTTTTTTTTTTACTGTCATTTGTGTTGCTCCTGTTATTGTGCTTCTTATTTTTCCATGCATGGAATGTGCCAGCTTTTTGGTGTATTTCTGCCGTGGGTTTCCATCTGTTTTCCCGTATTTTGCTTATTTTGTCTTTGCGTGTCTTTTCTCCCCCACGGGGGGGGGGGGGGGTGTATTGGTTTGCTTTGGGGAAGGGGTGCCTTGCGCAGCTCCATTGTGGTCCTTTTCCCACGTTTTTCCTTCCTTTCGTGCCGTAGCAACCGCGTTGCGGGGAACGCACATATACGCCACAGCGCCCGCACTCGGTCTGAGCGTCGATAGGTGGACATTAGTACGTACACGTAGTTGCATACCCGTGTGTGTATAATATATACGGAGACTTTGGCTCAGTGGAGGCAGGACGGCACAGTCACGTAGGGAAAGGAAATCGTTATCGTCCGGGGGCGTCTCTTTGGTTGTCGTTCTCTTTTGCTTTTCCCGTCGGCCTGTCTGTCGGTGTGTGCGTGGGTGCTTTAGCATTGACCCCCCACCCCCTTTCCATCTCTAGCACGCTCAA